TAATTATCGTTTCTTTTATTCGTGCAAGTGATTTGAACCACTCAGATTCACCAGTAATGAAAAGACAATTCAGTGGATCTGTGCAAGAACTGTGTTTGAGATGATCCATTTGCCGGCTTTACACACTGCGCGTGCTATTTTTTACAGTAAGGCTGGTCTTTGACTCCTCGCTGAAAACGGGTGGAGAGGTCAAAAGAAACCGAATAGTGCCTGAGTAAGAACGGAACCTGCTGCTTTGCCTCCTGCCTGTCCTCTGAACTTCCTGCAGGGATTGCCAGTCTGAGTTGTGAAAACCCATTCACTAAGGACTCCTCTTTCCCAGGCTTTGCTCTTGTTGAAGGAGCATCCCCTTCACAAACAGGTCTGCTGGCCCACTTTTCCAGCTATGTCTTAAAAGAAATGTTCTTTTAATGTGTAAGCGAGTCAAACTGCCTCATCCAGTGAGGCACAATGCAGAGATCTCCTTTGATATGCTATTAACCCCTGCTGGCAACACTGCCAGTACGTAAGAGTCAGGAGTCGGAGACCGCTTTAAGTAAAGTTAAAGACTTAAGTCTCTCGCCTTAACTCTGCTTTTAAGTACCACTTTGAAACTTAACAAGATCATGGTCAGCAACTTCTTTTCCCTCACATCTCTAACATCTATCCCTGGGCACAGCCTGAGTTTTGTAAAATCTTGAGAAGGCCAGCTCAATGTAAAGGCAATTTGTTGTTACGTTAAAGATGATCAGAAGCAAAGCAGCACCTCTAACTGTTTGTGCTGCTGTGTCCCAACATTTCTCAGCATAGAGAGTGAGGTTGAGCAGGAAGAAGAGAGCAAGTAGGGGTCTACCAGGAGCAAAGCACCTTGGCTGCTTGAAACTACCGCAAGCTCTTGGCAGACAATAAAAAAGGCTCAGGAGGGTGACTCAGACATTCCAGGGGGAAAAGGTGAGACTGGAAGAGATCAAATAGCACCAGGAAGGAAAAAGGCTGTTATGTCAGGAGAAGGGAGGGGAGGGAAGTGCAGTTGGGAGAGGCACCGCTGATACGTGACCGGTCAGTCTGAAGGTGACTCCAAACCAGTCAGTGGAGAAGCAGGGCCCAGCGTCCGCGGAAACTGGTCGCACATGTAGTTGATGAGGCGGGCAGTCAGCCAGCAATTCTTAAACTGCAAGGGGTGTATACACCTGCACAGGGTAAGTACACACGCAGAAGATACATTTGGGAGCAAAAGTCCAAAGAACTGTTAAATACAGTACAAGGATATGTACCTTTGTCTTTTTTTGGCTTCCTTATAAACTCCTTGGTCATTCAAAATTCATATACAGCAGAGGTGAAGAACTAGGAAAAGCCAACCAGAACTAATGCATTCTTCCACATCTAACAGGGCAAATACTTGTGGGCTATTTTCTGAAATTAGTAGATGACACCTTTTGCATGTTCACGAACAGCAAAAATGTATTAGATTGCAACATTTTCAAAATAATTGAGATTTAAAGCATCCACTGCTCCTCAAGTAGGGTTTACACAGCAATAGCGTATTGAACCCATTCTTTATGTAGCATGGAATTGCCGAAATTGAGAGCCCCACAAATGACAAAGAACAGAATTTGCACTGGAATGCATGAATTACCTCTGATAGCATGTTTCTACTTGTTTCTACCTTGCAAGAAAGACATTAGGACATTGCAATTTTGTACTTATTTGGGTCAGCTATTAGTTAAAACTTGTGGTGGAAATGTTCACGAACACTGCAGCTTTGGGTCGAAATCTTTATAATAAAGATGCCATTATCTTTTTCTAAAAACAATGCTGCAGACATTTAAGAAGGGAGTACCCTGACCAGATAGTGTTATCCGAATAGCACATTCATCTGTTTCAGGACTATTTTCTCTACGCATTGACAAGAACTTCTAAATAAATAGGTATTTGAATGACAAATAGGCCTAAGATGATTCTAATAATTGTTTTAAATCTCCAGGTATTAGAGATTTAGACATTTTAATGTCATCACCTGCTATTAGACACCCTATGTGGACTCGGTGTTTGTATTTAGATAATTCCAGTGTTTTTAGGGCCTATTCCAGTTCCTTTTACATTTAGGCAAGTGCCCACATTTTTGGTGGGGTATAGTAATCAAGATTAGTGGGCTTGAGAATAACAACGCGCAAAGTCAACGCTCATCCAGCCCCGCTTTGTTCTGCATGACTGACCTTAATACGCTCCACATCCACAGCCCCAGACTGTGCACGTCAGGAAGATGTCAGAGCAGCAGGTCGCTCGGCTTTGCTTCAGTCAATCAGATAGCAGCAGAAATTGATACTGTTATGAACAGCTTGCAGCAAAGTTATCAACATGCTTAGAGGCGAAATTCATTAAAGATTATCTTTAAAATACTCAAAAAATAAATTCCTACCTTTATCTACATGGTACAGGGAGAGCAATTTTCTACATATTAGCAGAATAATCACCATAGGAGTACCTCCTTGCCCATATTGCTTGTTTATATCACTTCAGTATCTTGTAGTTTCAAGAATGCACATTTTTACCTCTCTTTTTCTGTCCTTTATATTTTCCTTTATACCTTACATATTCAAATCCTAGACATTACTTCTTTTTCATGCACAAAACGTATTGGGAGTTTTACCACTGCAAATTGCAGCTGCTAGCACACACAGCAAAAGCAGCATCATCCAACACCTCATCCACTGAATTAATTGTCAGTCATCTCTCAACAGCTATGTTACTGGCCTCTGGCCTAACCTAAGCAAACAGCTTGGGCATCACTGGGTTAAAATGAAAGCGTCTCTTTACAGAGCAGGATGCCTATTGGTGTGAGTAGAGGGGAAAAAAAAAAACAAACCACCTTTCTTCAACAGCAGATAGGATTTATTTTTGCTATAAAAAGCCTGAACAAGGATCTTAATTTTTCTCCCTCCTCTCTTCAGAAACATAAATCAAATCTTGGGCCAATATAAACACTTAGAAACTTAATATTACTTAATATTACTTAACTCCTGTTTCACTCTTTAAGGATGGATAATTATTTAAGATTGGTGGAAGTGCTTCACATTTAAACACAAGTTTTACACACTGACGTTGTCCAAACTGTCACACTAAAAAAAAAAAAATCAGAACAATCACTGATATATTACAGTAAGAGGGCTTTTGAGCATATGAATACATGATTAACTCGGGAATGAATAATTCTGCAGTGTTTTTCCACTGGAACTATTCTCATTTTCCCTGTATGGTTTCTTCAGGTAAAGTCATGCTGTATGGTGTTCTTCTAAACCGGAAAAAAAAAAAAACACAAACCTGTCATTTGAACAGCCTTATTTCTATTTGGTCCACTTTCTAGGATACTCTTCTAGCTTGACAGGATTTAAAATCCTCTCAGTTTCAGATGTTCTTGTAACTCCTCCACTAGAAGGGAACTCAGTAGCTGGTTCAGGAGCTCAGCACTCTGACACCACT